GTCTCTAAATAAAATACAAAATAGGGATGGGGATGTGGTTGAGTGTCCCTGAGTTCAATCCCCAGTAAACCGCCCCCTCAAAAAAAAAATACACTCTACTGTCATGTATATCTAAAAAGAATAACATTTTAAAAGGAAAAAAAAAGAAGAAAAAAAATAAAATAAAAATTTATTGAGGTTCAAAAAAATTTTTGAAGGGCTGGATATATAGTTTTGTAATAAAGCAGCCCTGGGTTCAATCCCTAGTACCCCACCCCCAAAATGGAGGAATCCCACCACCACCACCAAAAAAAAAAAAAGAAAATATAAAATTGGAACAAATGATAATAAACTTAAAGAATAAGTTCAGGGTTTCCAAAAAAAAGGTGAAAAGATAAAATGAAAGGAAGAAAATGATAGGAGAAATAATGTGAGACAATTTTTCAGTGCAGACAGCCATTCGTTTCTGCGTGGAGGGCCAGCTCATAGCCAGTACCACAGATGAAAAGAGCACACACCAGTCTGACTGGGACATCTCAGGACGCTGGGGTTCTGGGCCCCAAGCCTCATGCTCCTCCCAGTGCCCCCCCTCCTGCCTCCTCTCTTCCCTTGAGCTCCCTGTGGGCAGTGCATCCAGGCCGAGCTGAGCCTCCACTTTCAGAGTCAGATGAAACACCACGAACATCACGCTGTGGAGGGTGGACCCTGATTTCCTGGTCAGCTGCTAATTGTTGAAAGATGTGGACCAACAAACACAAAGTTAGCGGGGCTGGGGATGTGGCTCAAGTGGTAGCGCGCTTGCTCGCCTGGCATGCGTGGGGCCCGGGTTCGATCCTCAGCACCACATACAAAGATGTTGTGTCTGCCAAATGCTAAAAAGTAAGTATTATTTAAAAAAAAAAAAACACACAAAGTTAGCTCTCCTTGACTGATGGAGAGTAGAGATGGAGAGTAGAGATGGAGGACTGGACCCTCTCCCGTGGCTCCTCCTTGTGTCCCTTCCAGAAGAGTTCCTTAGGCCCCAGCCACCTGCCTGGCATCCCATCCCTCACCCCTTACTCCTATTTCCCCCTCTACATTCTATTATAAAAGCTTCCAAGCATTCAGCAAAGTTGAAAAAAATCGCACTGGAGCAAGTGCCTGTGAAATACCCACTATCTAGAATGTGTCACTGACATTTTCAGTACCTTTATTGGACTATAATTTAATATCATCAAATCCACCTTTTAAAATCGGCTGGTGTTAGTTACATTCACAGAGGTGCACAAACATTGCTGGCATCAATTAGGACATTTTCTTCACCCCCCAAAGACACCATATTCCCTTTAGCAGTTACTCCTATTCTTCCCCTCCCCTCTTCTATCCCTAAGCAAAACACTTAGTCTTTCTGTCTCTGTGGAATTGTCTATTTTAAACATTTGATATAAATGAAAACCATACTCTATATGGTCATCTGAGACTGGCTCATCATTTGGAAGGTTTATCTCTACTGTGGCATGTCTCAGTGCATCAGTCCTTTGTATGGCCAGACAATTTTCCACTGTATACCAGCAACGTTTTACTAGGTTTGCTTTGTCACATGTCTGTCCGTGGATTCATCTTCTACCCATCCACTGGATCCATCTTCTGTCTGTTCTGTGTTTTCCCTCCTCACCAACCCTCAGCAACTTCAGCTTGCAGTCCTCTCAACTCAAGCTCATGTCACACAATTACCAGAAGGGCAAAGGGGTGAGGAGCTGGTGTCTTTAACCATCTGGTTTTCTAGTAGATGAAGGCAAGGAAAAAGGGATATTGAGGTGGATATTGCTCCCATGGCATTTAAAATGTCCCCATCTCATCCCATCTCTCCCTCCAGTCCCCACTCCCATCATGGCATCCCACAGATCTCACATTTAAGAAATGCAAATTCCTTTAAGTTCCCTGAACACCCCAGTGTTCCTGACTACATCTCTTGCAAATGATAATTACTTGGATAAACTTCTAGGTAGAACAGCTTCCTCCTCTGTGATTCAGCTTTTCAGTGAACCATCCTACACACACACACACACACACACACACACACACACACACACCCTCCCCATACCTACTCCATCTACCATTCACTCTACTTGAGTGAATTGACCTTGTGACCTGTCTCCACCAGTCTCTGAATCCTCTGGGCAGGGGCCAGGCCTTCTATGACTTGGTATCCCTGGAACTCATTGCAGGATGCACGTTAATACATGTTTGCAGGAGAGGGACTGGGTATTTTCTAGTCATTATCTTTACAGTTGTTTATTTAACAAATGTATCATTGGGCATGCAACAAGTGGCCCTGTGAGTGCCTGGGTTTGGAGCCAAAGATTCGAATGAGACTACCCCGAGCCTCACAGACGCCTCCGGGACTCTTTTGTCTGGACAAATGCAAAACCAGACAAGATGCCAGGACAACAGATGTAAACCGGAACACATGGTCACCCAAATTATATACCAGCTTTGATGAAAACAGCAGGGCCACGCTGACTCACACCCGGCCTGTTAGACCCCAGTCGCTTCCAGAACTTTCTTCTGTTTAGAGGCAAGCGCTCTACCACTGAGCTGCATCTGCAACCCTCAGAACTTTCTTGCTCAGGCCAATTGCTCATCAGTGCTTGGATCATTTGTGTTTTCCTTGTTATCCACATAGAAATTTTGCATGAAATTTCATATTGCTGAATTATTGCTTTTAAGTACACACAGAAAAACATAAGCAATAACACAGCAAGTCACTTAATGAACAGTTGAAACACTGTTGACCTCTTCTGATGTACCTTCTGATATGCATAGTTGAAACCAGTGGGTTAGGACTGTGACCTATGTAAATTTGTTAATAGACTGGTTTTCCATATTTATTGGTGGGTCTTTGGGTGTTTCCAGCTTCTGACCATTTTGAATAATGAAACCATGAACATCTCAATATAGATTCCTTACTCTTTTCTCTTAAGTTGTTTCTTTGAGGTACATACTCTAAAGTTCAATAACCTGGTTGGAGAACAGGAAGTTGATGCCTTTCACTTCCTGTTGCTCTATGTCATGTTGACTCCCAAAAGTCTGAGTCAATTTGCAGAGCACATTTATCTGTTTTTCACAATCTCTGCCAGTAATCCGAATTAATATTTTTATGTATTAATAGGAACTGATAGTCATTTTAGGGTGTTCTTTGCATTTTTAATTGCTACAGGAGTTATTCATTGTACTTTAACCAGAAGCAATTGCGTTTTTGTGAAAACATTTTATAATATAAACATATACTTTATATTTCTTTGTATTTACAAGGCATATTATAGGTATTCATTAAATATTTATTAAATTAATGAATGTATTAAAATCACATGTAGGGGCTGGGGCTACAGCTCAGTTGGTAGAGTGCTTGCCTTGCATGCACACAAGGCCCTGGGTTCAATCCCCAGCACCACACACACACACACATGGTCACCCAAATGCAGTCACAAAAAGATAAAGACCACTTGATGCCACTTATGTGAGGTTCCTAGAGTTCCTTCATAGAGACAGGAAGTAAAAAGGTGGTCGCAGGGGTGGGGAGAATAGCACCGGGGAGTTAGTGTTTAATGGCTATAGAGTTTCAGTTTTTTAAGATAAAAAGAGTCCCAGAGATTGGTCACACAACAACATGAACATGTTCAAATACTACTAAAAAATTTTGCATATGTCTTATTGCAAGTGTGTGTGTATGTGTGTGTGTGCGTGTGCGTGTGCGTGTGTGTGTGTGTGTGTGTTTGATACCAGGGATTGAACCCAAGGGTGCTTAATCATTAAGCCCCAGCCCCAGCCCTTTTTATATTTTATTTAGAGAGGATCTTGCTAAGTTGCTTAGGGTCTCACTAAGTTGTTGAGGCTGGCTTTGAACTTGCAATCTTCCTGCCTCAGCCTCCCGAGCTGCTGGGATTACAGATGAGCACCACTGCACCTGGCAGCAAATGTATGTGTGTGTGTGTATCACACATTGTGTTTAATGGCTACAGAATTTCAGTTTTTTAAGATGAAAAGACTCATATATATATATATATATATATATATATATACACACACACACACATACACACACACATATATATATATTTTTCTCAGTGATCATTTGTCATAAATTGTCAGTAGAAGTGTGCCTACTGTACATACATGTGTACATACTACATATGCACACACGTATAGTCATACATGTTAAATGAAATTTCATGTGAAATCTTGACAGTGCTAATTTTTCAATGCAGAGATGTGTGATATTAATGTAATTGCACAGAAAAGAGAATAAGAAACATCCTACACTAGATAACATGGAACATTCAATATTAGAAAGTTCTTGGCCTTAAGGAAAAAAACATATGCATCTAGTTTCCCATTATATTGGAATTTTTTTAAAAAGGAAAGCTTAGGGAATCTTTCAGACAGCAAATTGAACTTTTCATCTTAAAGATGAGATCGTGAAGCTGAATACAGCGATACACAAGGGTAACTCCAGCAACTGGGGAGGCTGAGGCAGGAGGATAGCAAGTTCAAAGCCAGCCTCAGCAACTTAACAAGGCCCTAAGCAACTTAGTAAAACCCAGTCTTAAAATAGAAAGGTGTGTGGGGAGGGCTGAGGATATGGCTCAGTGGTTAAGCACTCCTGGGTTCAATCTCAGGCACCATAAAAAAACAATCAAAACAATATAAGATAATGAGTGGGTAGAGTGCTTGCCTAGCATGTGAGAGGCCTTGAGTTTGCTCCTCACTAGGGAGAAGGGGAGAGATAAGGAGAGGCCAACTGATTTTCTCACTTCAAGAGAAGCCACAACTTTCACTTCTATAATGACCCCAGCCAACAACTCCTTATGTCCCACTGGTCAGAGTGGACCGAATGGCCTTCCCTGGGCTGCCCCAGAGGCTGCTGGGAAGCAGGAGAAGAGCAGTTAGATGAATTGTCACCCCAAGGAAGTCAGGGAAAGTGGGTGCTGGGTGTCTGCTGCGCTCACCTCCGTGTCTCTGTTCTGCTGTTCTGGCGACAGGCTGGAACCAATGGCTACATGGCCCCTGAAATCCTGATGGACAAGGCGAGCTATTCCTACCCCGTGGACTGGTTTGCAATGGGATGCAGCATTTACGAAATGGTGGCTGGAAGGACACCATTCAAGGATTTCAAGGAAAAGGTCAGTAAAGAGGATCTAAAGGAAAGAACCATGAAAGATGAGGTCGCATTCCACCATGAGAACTTCACAGAGGAGACGAAAGACATCTGCAGACTCTTCTTGGCTAAGAAACCAGAGCAACGCTTAGGAAGCAGGTAAACTACCACGCCACAGAGGTACGCTGTGACATCCGCACTGCCCGAGCGATTCGGAAAATATTTCGAATTCTTGTCAAGTCCTGAAATTCTTATTATTTTTCTAATGTGATTTACACGTTTTATGATCAATTGTCTTCAATGCTTTCAAACAGTATAGCTCTTGATATGGAACTATCTCCAAGGTATGTTTTAATTGAAATGAGGTACAAAACAGCTTGCATTGTAAAAAAAAAAAAAAAAAAATCAAGTTGAGTGTGGTGGTGCACACCTGTAATCCCAGCAACTTGGGAGGCTGAGGCAAGAGGATCACAAGTTTGAGGCCAGTCTCAACAACTTAAAATAATATTTTTTAAAAGCAGATAATGTAGCTCAGTGGTGGAACACTTGTGTAGCATGTGCAACACCCCAAGTTCAATCCCCAATACTGGAAAAAACAAAAAAGAAAAATGGAAAAAAAGTAAAAAAGACAAGATCAGACCTTTGGCAGTGGAAAAAATAGAGGGGATTTAGATTCTACTATATATACTGGTCTTTTTGTACCAGACAATTACTTACTCTGAGTTTCAAGTTCTTCACAAATAAAATGGGGGTGGTGAGGGAGGGGTTGCAGGTACAATGGTTAATTTTATGTGTCAACTTGGCTAGGCCACAGTACCCAGAAATTTGATCAAACATTATTCTAGATATTTCTGTGCAGGTTTTTAGATGAGATTGAGACTTCAATCAGCCGACACTGAGTAAGGTAGACCATGCTCCATAATGTGGGTAGGCCTCATCCATTCAGTTGAAGACCTTAAGAGAAAAAGATGAACCTCCCTAGAGGACATGAGAATCTGGCAGCCCTTTTGGGTTCAGACTGCAACTCTTCCCCACAGGCTTTGGACCTGACAAGCCCTTCACAAATGCACGAGCCAACTGTAAAATAGTAAATTCCTCTCTGCCTCTGCGCCCCTCTCTCTCTCTCTCTCTCACACACACACACACACACACACACATGCATACACACAGAGAGAGAGTCAGGAAGGAAAAACTTCCTCTACCTTCTTAGGTTCAGTGCTTGGGGACCCACAAATGAAATCAGCAAAACACAGATTATCAAGGAAAAAGACAGATTTTTGTTCATTCAGGAGTTCACACTTTTTAAAAATGTGAGTAAGAGATCATTAGAATTTAAAGTATATATACCATCTTAATAGAAGAAGGGGAAAGGGAGAAACAGGGAAAACCAGTGACCTTTAGGGAAGACGGATGGCCCTTGGAAGGCTAGACGGGAGACATGATAGTTTGTGACCATTTCTGTTTAGGTAGGGCCCTGACTCCTCTGTTGCCTGCGATTAGTCAGTCTTTCCTGTTTGGAAAACTCTGGAGGAGGGGGCTTGGGACAGTGGCGTTATTTTGGAAGGCCCTGCTTGTAAACAGATGGGAGAATTCAGAACCTGCATCTCTTGACTCTCAAACCCTTTCAGCTCCAGATAATTGGGACAGTGGCACCTTCTGGACCCTCTGCCTCCTGTTGGCCCTGTCTCTTCGCAGAGCTCTGGGTTTCCGGTGGGGAGTGTGTTCAGAATTACTCAACAAGTGAGAGCGATTATTATTAATCATTACTCAATTGTTCTAAGAGAGATGTTAGATGATATTTTGAATTTCTTATATTACTTTAATGGAATTTTTAAGATCTAAGAATTATACAAACATCTGGGCTTGGGGTATAAATCAGTGTAGAGCCTTTAACTAGAATGCACAAGGCCCTGGGTTTGATCCCCAGACAGACAAACACACACACACACACACACACACACACACACACACACGGAAACCTACAACCACACGGTAGTATGACTGATTTTAATATAGTACCATGTTATGGTTTGGATCTGAATGTCCCCTAAAAGGTCAAGTGTTGAAGGCTTGGTCCCCAATACAGCAATATTCCGAGTTAGGGCTTCTTGGAAATGATTGTATCATGAGGGTTTTGATCTCACCAGTGGATTGATTCATTTGATGGATTAATAATTTGGATGGACTTCTGGGATATGATAGAGACTGTATGCAGGTGGGGCATAGTTGGAGACAGTAGGTCAACGGAGGCGTGCTCTCAGGGACTATATCTTGTCCCTGGCCCCATTCCGACTCTCTCTTTCTCTCTCTGTCTCTGCCTCTCTCTTTGCTCCTGGCTGCAGGAACTGAACAGCTTTCCTCCTCTGTGCCCTTTGCCAAGATGTCCAGCTACCCCTCAGGCCCAAAGCAAAGGAGCCATCTAACCATGGACTGAAAACTGGGAAGTGATGAGCCAAAGTCAACCTTTCCACTTTAAGTTGTTATTGTCAGGCATTTTGGCACAGTAATGAAAACACACCAGAACTCAGCAGCCAAATTCTAACTCCTCCAAGTGGTTGCTGGTGGAGTCTCTAAAACAAGATTGCCTTTGGTCAGAATATTTGAACATGGAGGCAAGCATTTAATTTTTGACCTGTTTTTGAATTTTATTTTATTTTTTTCAGAGCTGGGGATGAAACCCAGAACCTCACAAATGCTCGTGCTCCACCACTGAGCTATACCTGCAGCCCCAACCTGACTTGAAAAATAGCCAAACAATATAATATACCAATACAAAGGGAAAGAGTCCTTATCTTTGATTCTTGTTTAAAGTTGTTTTACTGTATTGTACAAAAATGAGTATATTTTGAACAATCAAAAAAACTTGTAAATTTTATCAACAAGAAATATTACTTGATTCTTAAAATTAATTTGCAGTAAAACTTTTTAAAAAATATTTATTTTTTTAGTTGTAGTTGGACACAATACCTTTATTCCATTCATTTATTTTTATATGGTGCTGAGGATTGAACCCAGGGCCCCACACATGCTAGGCAAGCGCTCTACCGCTGAGCCACAACCCTAGCCCTAACTTGCAGTAACTTTTAAAGCATGACCTATGATCAAAGTAACTAGTATTTTGAAATTAGACAGATTCTACATCATGTGGAAGTAAAATGTTGAGTTGATTTTCCCATGTAGGTTCCAGGGTTGTATTAGGTCAGTACAAGCCATGTTATGATAATAAGCAAATCCCAAAGTCTCAACAGCTTCCAATGAAAAAAATGATTTCCCATTCACCCGCAGCCCGATAGATACATAGCCCACTGCTCTCCAGGATGTCTCTCTTCCAAGCAGTGACTCAGAGATCCAGTGGAAATTGTTGTCCTTCCAGTCCCAGTGGCTGAACAGAAAGCAGAGAACTCAGAGAGCTATTCCAGCCTCCGCTGGGAAGTGACACGCTTCACACACCACTTCTGTCTCCCCCAGAACCTGTCTGCAGGTCCTGCGGAAGGGTGAGAGAGCTGGCTAGTGTTATCCTCTTTGTGCCCAGGAAGGAGAGGTGGTCCAAATATGGTGACCACTGACCATCACTGGTAGTCAGTGGCTGTCCTGACTCTCAAGGTCAGGGAGTCCCAGAGGGCACACAAACAAGGACAGTCAGAAGGCAGAGGGTGGGGAGACCCACAATTTCTCCAGATGACTTCGTTGAAGGGCTACCACCCGCTTCTGAGCCCACTTCAGTTTTATAAAATGAAATGTCAGCAAGCTTTTCCGGAAGATGCCACCTTCACCTACTGGATCATTGCTGGAAGCTGCTTCATTAAGCAAAGCCCTTCTCCAAAGACTCTGCTGTCGTGAGTGTTTTGATTAAAACCGTTGACGACACTAGAGAAGGGGCATGTCAGAAACATCTGTTCGGTGAAAGAGAAAGCCTTCCCACATTTTCATGCCAACTTTTTGTATTTCTAAGAGGTTCATTCAAATGAGATCATGTTTGCTCTAGGTAGTGGTGTCCTCCCCAGCGGAGGCAAAGGCCCAGACAGAGAGTGACCCAGTGGAGAGGCCCAGGGCCCCTCCCGCCTGCCTTCACAAGCATTCAAAATACATTAAGCCTCTCTCCTTCTTTAGCCTCCCCAAAGAGGATTTCCTTCTTTGCCTTGACAAGTCTGGAAGTTAATTTGACAAAGAAGTCAAAAGCTTTCCCAGGCGTTCACAGGGTCTCCAGACAGAGTCGACTGTGAGGTTTTGTGATAAAGTAAAAGGTGAAGACCACTTGAGATTTTTTTGCAGGTTTTGTTCTGATCCATCAGTGCAGCAGAACAAGAGCAAATAGCCATGTAAGCCGGTGGCTTCAGCGCTTCTTTACCGCAGAATTCCATGCCAGCAGCCCCGTCTTGGCAGGTCGGCAGGCCAAATCCCACGGTGTGGTCCTCGTGTACGGGCAAGTGAATCTCCGCTCCCTTGAGGGTTCTAAGAGTCCATTGTAATCTCTGTGTGGGGTGCAGCCACACAAGAGCCTCTGTTAATGCTCTGGAATATATTCCAATGCAACAACAAGTTTTTCCTGCACCTGCCTGTTTGGACTTTACCAAAAAACGCTGCTCCCTCGGCAGCCTCTCCTGTTTGTCCAAAGCGCCCTGCAAGGTGATGAGCCTAACAGCATCTCACAAAGCTGCCAGGGAACAAGTCTAGGGTCAAAGCCCCTTTCGTGCTATTTCCAAAGACAGTGCAGGGGTGAGAGTTGCTAATGCAGAAGACCAAAGTGATCAGCTTCGTGGCTGCCTCCACACCAGAGGGGGGAGAAGAAGCTTGGATCAGCGACACAGGAAGGCATAAGGCACAGGGTGTGCGTCCTGCCTCTAGGGACATTTAGTTGGGAGGAGAATGTACAGGTGATCTCAGAGTGGCTTGTGGTTCCCTTGTCTTGCCTAATTACTTGTCCAAAGGCTGCGGTCAGTCATCCCTGAAGGACACACCAAGGTCACCTGGACCGGTTCCCTGGACATGCTATTTGAGAGCTGTTCATCATGACCTGCGACCCTGGAGGTTTCCAAGCTCCTGGACACTCGCCATTTATCCACGTTAAAGCTGCTTAGAGTGAATTCCAAGGGCCATTGTGAGCCCAAGGACAGGGTGTTCATGCCTGCTGGAAGTTATGGAGGTAGTACATAACTTCCTGGTGGCACGTAGTCCTGTTTCCCTTTGAGACATGCAGGCCCGGCTTCAGTCCTGATCTACTTGGATGGAAGTCTAACTGCATCCTTCTGTCACATTTCAAATCCATCTGATAGATGAAGAGGTGAATGTTACTGTATAAATTACACCTCAATAAAACAACTTTTTATTTATTTTATTTTGAGATAGTGTTGTTTAGGGCCTCACTAAGTTGCCAAAGCTGGCCTCCAATTTGAGATCTTCCTGCCTCAGCCTCCCGAGTTGCTGGGTTACAAGCATGCACCACCACACCTGGAAACAAATACATAGATTTTTAAAAAATCTATCTTTGAAGTTTTGGTTTATCTCCATAACTCTCCCTCCGAGCTCTTATTATACACAATGTAAGTACACAGATACTGGGTGAATAAGTTCCAGAAGATAGCCAGCCTGCATTTTCCTATCTTTTGCTTGCCAGAGGCTTCGTGGCTTGTGGGAGAAGAGAGACACCTGGTAGCACTTCCTGATGCAGCACTGCAGACACCATGGGAAAACCCCAGAAGTCCTGATGGGCTCTGGATACAGTGAGGTCCAGAGTCACAGAACAGCAGCCCAAGGAATGGCTGCACATCAAAGCATCCAACTGAGTTTCTTTTTTCCACAATAAAATTTGATTGCAATTTTTTCTTCAAAACCTCCCCCTATTCTCTGGCAGTCTTCCGTGCACAGTTCTTTATGAGTGCAGAGCAAATAAAAAAGTTAAAAATAAAGGTGTTAAAACAAAGTCACCGTATGCCCACAAAGTGCAATAATGACAGTGACGAGCTTCACCTCGTGGAGTAATGCTGGTCCCCCTCGTCTTGTCTCTAGTCATCTCACTGGGCAGTCTACAGGACCTTGGGATCTGATGGGGGTGAGGGGCAGAGGGGTCTCAAGGAGATTCTAGAGAAGCCTTCAATTATTTCCCAAAAAGCCTTTTTTTGATATCCGGAATGGAAAATGTAAAAAAGAGAAACCATGAATGTGAGTAATTTCTACTAAGGTTGATTTATGGCAGAAATTGGCTTCTTCCAAATGGAAGTCATTACTTAATCAGACCAGGAAATGCACTCACATAAAAAAGAAAAAGAAAAAAATTATTCTGAATCCGATGCCATAAACAGTCCTCTTCTTATGTTGTTATAGCCTGGATTAAAGAGGAAGTAAGAGAAGTGTGGCAGGCAGCCCCTGAGAGTGTCCCCAAGGATCCCCCTCTGCTGCCTAATCCCTTCACCAAGAGAGGAGACTGAGCAAATAGAATGTGGTAGAAATGTCGAGATGCCAGTTGCAAGATTAGGTTACAATCTCCTGTTTGGGTGCCCCCTGTCTGTCTCTCTGTCTCTCCTTCCTTCCCTCCACCATGGAGACAGTCAACTGCAGTGTTACAGGCAGCTGTGGTGAGAGATGGAGTCTTGATCAACAACCACAGGGGACCCAACTTCAGTGGGACCTTCACATGAGACCACAGCCCTGGCCACCATCCTGCAACCTTGCAGGAAATCTTGAGCCAGAGACACCCAGCTAAGCCATGTCCACATTCTTTACTCACAGAAACCATGAAATAATAAATGTTGGTTGTTTTAAGCCACTAAATTTGGGGGCAGTTTATTTCACAGCAATACACAGCTAACACACACTTTTTCCTTTGTTCTAAGGCAAATACTGGAACCAGTTCTAGCATAGAGAAGAAGGTTTCATCATCATAACTATAGTCTCAAATTCCAAAAGTATCCTCATTCGCTGTATTGCAAATTGTTAATGGATTGGTATTTGGTTTTGGTTTTATTTTATTTTATTTTTACTTTGTTTGCTTGAGGTACTCGAGACTGAACCCAAAAGGGCTCTACCACTGAGGTACGATCACCCCATCCTCTTTATTTTTACTTATTGTTATTTTTAGTTTTTGTTGTATTAGGGATTGAACTTAGGGGGCATTCTACCACTGAGCCCTTTTATTTTTTTGAGACAAGGTCTTCCTAAGTTTGGCCCCAAACTTGTGATCCTCCTGCCTCAGCCTCCCTGATCAGGGGAGATGACAAGGTGGACCACTGATCCCAGCGCCACTTGAATTTTCCTGGTGCTCTATGAAATGCCAACAATCAAAGTCACTCCCAGTGCCCAACTCTTAAAAAAAAAAAAAGTCACATCTCCCCGTGCAGTTTGAAGGCCAACCATGGGAACGCTACTGTCTGTGCATACTGTGGAGTTCAGGGTGATTTTACGTTGTTATTTTTCAAGGTCATCCTTTAGGTCACTGAGTGGCCTTTTCAGTGTTGGGAGAGAAGAAGCCGGTGGCTCTGCCTTGGTGGGTCCAGGTCTCAGTCCCTTGTCTGCTGTCCCCCCAGGGAGAAGGCGGACGACCCTAGGAAGCACCCTTTCTTCCAGACGGTCAACTTCCCGCGCCTGGAGGCCGGCCTTGTGGAGCCCCCGTTCGTGCCCGACCCGTCGGTGGTTTATGCCAAGGACGTGGACGAGATCGACGACTTCTCCGAGGTCCGCGGGGTGGAATTCGACGACAAAGACAAGCAGTTCTTCCAAAGATTTTCCACAGGCGCTGTCCCCGTGGCGTGGCAGGAAGAAATCATAGAGACGGGATTGTTCGAGGAACTCAATGACCCCAACAGGCCGTCCGGGGACGGGAAGGGCGATTCCTCCAAGTCTGGGGTGTGCCTGTTGCTCTAGAGGGTTCCCCCCAGCAGCGGGGAGCAGCCTGGGCGCCTGGGACCCAGAACCTGCTGAACCAGGGCTGGTCAGTGGGAGGACACTGCCAACCAGGACTGGTCAGGACAGGCGGGCTCGAGGCTGAGACGTGGGGTCCCCCTGTCTCTGTCCCCCTGACCCCCATGAAAATCAGCAGAGCCCCAGTTTTCACTGAGGTCTGGGGAAAGGAACCCTCAGGTTTGTTTTGCTAAAACTACAAGCCTGAGCCCTTCCCCATCACGTCTGTGTGAATGACGCAAAGTCCCAGGGTGAGAGAATGGAACTTTGTGGTGGACCCAGCAAATGAGCATTTGCAATTCTTAGTAAATAATCATTTTAGTTTTTCCTCTGTTTATATTCTTTCTTCTCCTCATCCTTCAGCATTTTGTCTGCTTCTGTGCTTACAAAAAGGATTTTTGAAGCTGGGAATCAGGGTCCCTGATGCTCTCTCCCTAAACAGAAATGGATTGTTAATATTTTGGCAAGAGTTCGGATCACAGAATCATTTTTAATTTCACTGACAGTTTTACATTTTTTAAAAATAATTTATTATGATAATGTTCAAGCATTTTTTTTTTTTTTTAGTTATAGGTGGACACAACATCTCCATCTCGTTTATTTATTTTTATGTGGTGCTGAGGATCAAAATGGTGCCTCACACAGGCGAGGCAAGTGCTCTGCCATGGAGCCACAACCCCAGCCCATGTTCAAGCATTTTTATTGTAAATCTCTATAAGAAGTATTCTGTAAGTTTAGTTGAGGCTTTTAATTAATAGATTATAAATTGCTTATACTTGCAATTTTATCTTCCATCAGTTCCCAAACTTTACTGAAATTTGGAATTGCCTAAGGATCTTTTCAAAATCGATGCCTCTTACCCCCACACATTCTGATTTCCACTCCTAGGTATGAAATACAACCTGAGCATTTAGAGTTTCAAAAATCCCCAGATGATTCTAATGTAGAGCAAATTTTGATAGATGAGCTGGGCATGGTGGCTGATGCCTGTAGTCCCAGCTGCTCCGGAGGTTCAGGCAGAAGGATCACAAGTTGGAGGATAGCCTGGGCAATTTAGTGAGACCGTGTCTCAAAATGAAAGTGTAAAAAGAGCTCAGGATATAGGTAGAGTGCTTGCCGAGCATATGCAAGGCCCTGGGTTCTCCCCAGTATAACACGCACACACTATGTTCATTTGGTAGATGCACTATGTATATGTACATATTATTACATATAGGTTTTGTGTTAGTGAGCTTTGTGATACTATAATAAAATGCCTGAGATTATCAATTTAAGAAGAGAAAAGGCTTATTTGGGTTCTTGGTTTTGAAAGTTTCTGTTCATGGTTGGTTGGTCCAGTTGCTTTGGGGTCTGAGGCAAGAGAGCACAACATAGTGGGAGTCCATGATAGTGGAAGAAGCAGCAGGAAAGCGAGGGAGAGGAGAAAGATGGGCCCAGGTCCTGCCAACCCCTTCCAGTGCATGTTTCCAGTGCCCTGAATTACATTCACTGTGGGCCCCAGCACCTAAAGATCCCAGCCACCCAATAGCACCAGGCTTTAGACCAATCTTTCAACACATGGGCTCTTGAAGGATGCTTGTCCAAACCACAGCAGGTCCTTATTCTGGTTATTCCAAACCTCAGTCATACATTGGACAGCCACTTTCCAAACGTCAAGACCATGTCATTTTGACAACTGCAGTGTAAATCAAACAGAAGATAAATGGTATTTGTCTTACAGAGTCTCTTCTCCTTGCACCTTGATCTCACATATCTTGGAAGGACCATCTCTTGGCTTGTAAAGGCCTCAGGAGACACATGGGTAGAAAGTGAGTTGGATAAATGGGGGCCTCATTTCAGGTGCCCAGCTAGTGCTGTGTTGTAGTGTTTGTACTTCCTAAAAGCCCAGCAGAAGTGAGAAGACCAAGGCTAAAAAGAACATTTGAATCACAAATATAAATCTGGGTGATATATTTAAACAAAAAGAAGAAGGAGGAGGAAGAGGAGGAGGAGGAGGAGGAGGAGGAGATAGATAGATAGATGTGTGCACAAGGAAATCTCACTTGTCCCAATGGTGAAACATTTGGTTGAAGTCAGTTTCCAAGTTTTGTCTCTTGAGGACCCAATCCAAGCTTGTAAAGTACAGGCCAAAAAAAAAAAAAAAAATTGGTTAGCTGGGTCTGGGTGACAGTAATCCCCAAGTGCAAGACAGCATTAACTGTATCTGGAATGAAAAAGAAGAAACTTGCTGGGAGCAGAATCCTGGCTCAGTGCACATGCTGAACCTCAGCATGCTTCCTGCTTCTCTGAAGCCTCACCTGGACACACTGCAGAGTCCAGAGTCACCAAGGTAGGATTCAGGGGTGTCCAGCAGAACCTTCCTAAGGCAAGAAAGTAGATTGTAGTTTCTTTTTCTTTTCTTTTCTTTTCTTTTTTTTTCTTTTTTTTTTTTTTGTACCAGGAATTGAACCCAGAGGCACTCAACCACTGAGCCATATCCCCAGCCCATTTTTTACTTTTTATTTTCAGATAGGGTCTCGATAAATTGCTTAGGGCCTCACTAAATTGCTGAGGCTGACTTTGAACTTGTGATCCGTCCTTCTTATATATCTACAAGCCACCTGGGATTAAAAACATGCACCACCATGCCCAGCTAAAATTTCTAACAAGTCTATTTAACAACAACAAAAAAATGGACTAGAAATCTGATTATCCAGAGCAATTCAATAGTAGAGTTCAAAGGATTTGGCTTTACAAACATTAGATATTTTTTAAAAATAACGTCTTGCTGGGCATGGTGGCACATGTCTGTAATCCCAGACTTAGGAGGGCTAAAAGTTTGAGGCCAGACTTGGTATTTAGCAAGACCCTGTTTCAAAATAAAAAAATAAAAAGGGGTGGTGATGTAGCTAGTGTGATACAGTGCCCCTGGGTTAAATTCCCAGTAACACATATTCTCTCTCTCTCTCTCTCTCTCTCTCTCTCTCTCTCTCTCTCTCTCTCTCACACACACACAGACACACACACACACACACACACACACTATTTAAAAAGGGACAAAACCAGTGAAACTCCACATGGGCAGCAAGCTGAGGTTACATGAGGCTTTTATAGGAAATTTGACATCCTCTCTGAGCCATTACAACTTTGGTGGGTTTGAATTCTTGGCCTGTGTGACCAAACACCATGCACAGGAATTCTCCTGATAGGCAATTCACAGAATGCCAAACAAAAATGTGAAACACCCGCATGTGACATTGCAAATGAAGTGGCCTTCACCACAGGCAGCAGTGACTCAAGATAACTGAAGCTTACCTCCCTAAGAATTATTAAAAACAAAACAACAACAAAAAAACACCTAGCATAGAAATGCTACTATTTAAACAACACTCTAAAGATACCAGTAATTAAGTATCGCTTAAGTAACACTCTTCCCCTCTTTACAACGATCAAATCTATACAGTAATATTTCCCTCTTCATAACTACTTCATTAAAATAGATAAATAAATAAAAATGGACAAAGGACTTCAAGAAAGGCAAAACAAAGGTAAAATTTTAAAAAGTAATATATGGTTGCATTGGGTCCTTAATGTAAATATTCACTGCTTTTGATAAACTTTAAATACAAATCTGTTTCATTTATTAGAACTAACACAGGAAAATAATTAAATAAGTCACAAATAACTGTAGAAGTGTTAAATAGCCATGACCTAGGAAGTTTGTGTTGAAATCTAATTATACGTTGAGCCCTATCCTAGGTGGTGCTGGGGATGCCATAGAGAAACAAGATGACCATCTAAAAAAGGCCCCTTGTGTGATGTCAGATGCAGATCCCAGTTGGTGTTATCATTCCCATTTGAAATGAGGAAACTGAGGCTTTACAACTCTCCCAAGTCATATTTTTTCAGAGTTGGTGTAAAGATTGGCAATGACTGGATGTAAAGCACATGGAACAGGCCTGAGGTATAGTGGGGGCATGGTCATCTGAAGACAGTGGTCAGCAGGTAGCCTTGGGTTGAAAGGGAACAATTCGAGGTCAGAGGTCAAAACAATTCAGGGCTGAAGCAGCCCCCCCTCATGAAAGGTTCCGGAGGAAGTGAGAAAAGGAAGATAGCTGGGTTCCTGGGAGTGGCTGGGAAGGAAATTTTCCGTGTGCAATGAAAGAAAAGTTCTAAAGAACTCACATGAGGCCAAGGCAGAGGGAAGGAGGCATGCACCCCCCTGGGCAGGCCAGGGGAGGAGAAATGCTGGAAAGGGTGAAGATGCAAAGAGGTTGCAGGCGAGTCACAAGTGGAGACTTAACTAAGATGAAGCCTGAGGCCTCCTCAAAGGAAGGAAGCGATTATTGAGAAGGGATGATACGTGCTTGTTTTTCAAACATTAAAATGAGCTTGTGTGGGGTTTTGTTTTTTTTTTCTTAAGAAAAGTTCAATAAACATCATGAGACATCAGAGTTAACTTAACGTGAGTTAAATATTTAGACAAAGAAGAACCAGGGAGAAGTCATTTTTATTCTTCCAGTTTGCCACATATGGGCTGGGGATATAGCTCAGTTGGTAGAGTGCTTGTCTCACATGCTCAAGGCCCTGGGTTCAATCCCCAGCACCACAAAGAAAAAGAAAAAAAAAAAAAGTCCCAGTTTGCCAGGAATTATTTTGAGGAAAAACAATTATTTATTTATTTATTTTGGTACTGGGGGTTGAATCCAAGGGTATTTAACCATTGACCCACATCCCCAGCCCTTTTTACTTTTTATTTCAAGACAGGGTCTTGTCAAATTCCTTAGGACCTTGCTAAATTGCTGAGGCTGGCCTCAAACTTGTGAACCTCTTTCATCAGCCTCCTGAATCGATGGGATTACAGGCACACATCTCAGCACTCGGCAAATGTTTGTTTCTTAAAGGAGAAGATGAATTTGGATTTTTTTTCCTTTTTGGGGGTGCTGAGGTTGAAAATCTAAACTTGTGCAGGCTAAGCACACAGC